ATCAGAATTTGTAGAATATTCTATATTTTTGGATATTTAAAAACTTTTTGTTATATTGATGTAATTGTCTAATATACTTTTTGTAATGATAAACCAATTAATGAAAAAAATATGTTGGTTATTTTTTGTGTGTATTCACTCTTATTTTGATATGCTTTTTTATCTGTTATTACTAAAAGTGTATTTTATTAAATTACGAAATTAAAAGTATAAGGGGATAATTATAAATAATAAAATATCTGAATTACGACAAGACAATTGATAATAAAATATTTTATTTAATGTAATTATAATAGTGACAATTGTAATTATCCTGATATAAAGAAAATAATCATGTTTTTATGTGCTGTTATTTTTGTTGGATTTGTTTTCTAATAGAAAAATTATGTCAGTTTTAATTTAAGTTATTTAACTATTTTATATATATTGTATAAAATGATGAATGTTGTGATAGTTCGTCTTAAATCACTATATATCACATTTTTTTAAATTATATCAATAGTATATAGTGGCCATTAAAAACGATTAAATAATCTTTACAATTTACAGGATTGTTTGTAATGTATTTATCATTAACCGATAAATCATGAAAAGTAAAAGATGCAAAGTAACTGTGTGGATTTTTTTTCTAAATAGCAGTCAATACAAAAAAGTAGCACTGTTACACAACCACCTCTTCTAAATTGAATTGTCTTAACTAAAAGTTACAATTAATTTTCACAAAGACAAAATGAAAAACCATAACAAGAAATCAACATTATGGAAAACATCTTAATAAAAGAATAAATAAAGAAAACAAGGGACTTTGGACAAAGTCTTACTCTTCAAATATATCTTCTGGTTCATCCATGAAAATATTGTTGATGTGTGATATTTTTGGCAAAAACTCTTCATCTAAATCTTCTGGTTCATCCATGTCAATATTGTCGATATGTGTGATATTTTGGGCCAAAACTCTCCAACATGCGGCTCATACTTTTTATGTAAGTCAGCTGCACAATCTACAATCGTCAAATATTCAAGGGTGGTGAAGAGATGAATGTTATCCGGGAGCGCAACCAACTTTGGACAATTTTTTATAGCAAGAGTTTTCATATCAGTCAGAACTGGCAGCCAGTCTGGAAATGATTCAAAATTGTGGCAATCCACAACAATCAAACACTGTAAGGAGTTGACAACTTCCTCAAACCATTTAGGTAAGGTCACTAGTTGTGATAAAGTTGAAAATATAACAAATTTTAACTTCAGCTTGGGGCTTTGTTCTTCATGATCTCCCTTCCACAGTTCCAAATCCAAATTACTGCACTCTACAACATACAATGTTTCTAATTGAGGAAAATTTTTACACTCCAGCAGCAGAAACTTAAGACTCTGACAGTCTTGAACTATCAAAGTTTTAAGAGTAGGAAATTTCATCCCTCCAAATACGGATTCCACATTATGGCATGATCCAACAGTCAATAATTCAAGCGACCCCAAGTTGGCGATTTCATTCAAAGGCAAAACAGTTTGCTTTATGGAAAACTCAAAACAATAAAGACTGATAAGTTTTCTTAATCCTTTGGGCAATGCTTCCAACTCCACGCATCCTCCAAGGTTCAACACTTCCAAACATTGGAGCTTGCAAATAGAGTCGGGGAGTCTCTTAATGTTAGGATTTTTGCTAATGTCCAGATATCTCAGATGTTTCAACTTGCTAATTTTACGAGGCAAAGTCTCAAATGTTGCACAACTCAAATCCAAAACACGCAAGCATTTGAACTTTTCCAGACAAGTCTTTAGTATAGCTTTACCGTTGGCAGCTGCTACCTCATTTGGAAACAGGACGGTTCTCACAGCTGTTGATTTTTTGGTGACTAAATTGCTAAACAAACCCCTTTCGGCAAAAGACAGATGCCGAATATTATCAGGAATATTTTGAATGTTGGAATTGATATGTAGACACTCATCCATAGCAACAAATAGGGCGAGATCATGCACCAGATCATGTATTCTGAATCTATACACAGTGCCGAAGTTTTGAAAATCTTGAAGAAAGGATCTTGACAGAAGTTCATGCAAATATTGATTGGCTACATCTTCACGTTTTCTATCCGTTTTTGGTAATGCGATGAGTCCAAGTGCCCCCCAAAGCCAAATTATTTCATAACTAATATATTCATAATCTTTTGGGTAAAGGGAAAACAATGCAAAACATTGCCTCAAATAGGAGGGCATGAGATCATAACTCAATTTAAGGGCAGGTAAAATGTCATCCTTTTTCTGAGGCAAAATCCAGATTTCATTTTGACTCACATATTCCCATTCATTGGCCTCAAATTTTGAGAATAGTAAACTGCCTAATGTTCTCACTGCCAAAGGAACCCCTCCGCATTTTTTCACAATTTCTCTCCCAATATTTACTAA